ACAACAACAACAGGCTGTCATATGTATATGATGTAGCCATATCGTAAATCTTTGTCTTTGTTACCATGTCTTCATTTTTGTTTTTCGCGCTGGACACTTTCACTGGCAACTGGGGATTGCGAGACGAGCTGAGCCGCGCCGAGCGGTTGCCAAAAAGTATTTAAGGAATGCAGCAATTTGTGTGAGAGACGCCGAGCGATGCTGAGCATTCTGCATATTGAATACCATCAAAACTTTGAGAAAAGGGCAACATTAAAATAATAAAAAAAAAAAACAAAAACAAACTATGTAAATCAAACTGGAAATTGAATGATCATTCAGTCGTAGGGTCTAATTGAACGATTGGCAACGTAACGTAGATCTGATCCCGAGCATGCCTAAGATACAAGCGTAGCCAGCGACGACTTTCATTCACCTCAGCTGCCTCACCTGTACACCTGCTTGTCGTATTTTTTTCTTTGGTATGGGCATGGCTCGGCTGGGTCTGGGCCTGATGGCCGTTTGGTTATTTCGCTTCATTTCTTCGGCTCGTACTTGCTGACCCAATTCCAGAGACGCATGCGTTTCGTGGCTGTAGCTTGTCCTAAACTGGTTTTTGTGGTTGCGGCCCGCTGCCGCATTGATTTGCAGACAAACTGTTAACTGTTAATGATTGCCGTTGCTGTTTCTGTTGCTGCTGTTGTTGTTGTTAACATTTTCGGGTTTCGATTTGAAAGCCAAAGAAGCGCCACCGCTACAGCGTGAAACAGTTAAAGTTAAAATCAAGTTTGCACCAGCAGCACCAGCCTCAGCAGCCTAAGCAGCCTCAGCAGCGATTGCATAACTGCCCCCAACCCAGCCCAGCAGCCTCTCAGTTGGGGAGGCCGATCCCAGCTGTCGCCCCACATTCCATCAGTGCATTGTCGGTCAACCAAAGACGCGAGCCTAACTATGCATCACCTGCACCATAAACATAACATGCAAATGCACCTGACGACATCAGCATACTGTTAAGCTGTACATTCCTTTTTCTCTACACCATCCTGGAGCAGAGGTTTTGCTTCTATTTTATTCATACCCTGAACCCTTTGAAAATGAGAAATCAGAGTATGATGGTTTTGTTGAAATGTATGTAGCAGGCAGGAGGAGGCGTGGTAGACCACATATATTCTGGATCAAAGCGACGGGCTGAGTCAGTTTAGTCCTGTTCGTCTGTCTGTAC